TCTCTTTTCCTTGCAGTTAACTCTTTATAATTTGGTTTCTTACCTTTTTTTATTCGTAATCTCTGTCTTTCTCATATACTATACATTCTTCTTTGTATTTCTCCAACATTTTTGAACATACCCAATCCTTGTGTTTAAAGGTATATGAACTGATCCGAAAAAGGTTTTTCTACATTTCTGAGTATACAAAATGGATCATCCATCTTGAACAACGCCCGTCACAAAATATGTGTTGAATGGGATATCGAATAATTACAAAAAGTTCAGTAAAAAGCCCATTGCTGCAAAATAAACAGCTCGAAAAGAATGGCATCATAGGTGACTCACCGTGAGTAATGTGTGACTCACTTCAGCACAAATGAGTTAAATGTGATGAACGACAAATAAAGTACCGTAAAAGGTTTTGGAATAGGTGGATCATAATCCATTTTCGAAACTTGACGGAGACCACAATGTAGAAACAAAGCTCTAAGGTGAGAAAATAAACATAAAAGAGTTTTACAATAGTAGGAAATCGATACATTAATTGATCCAGGAGTGCCAATAACAGATATAGTTTGCTGTAGACATAAGTATAAAAGGCATAAGTATATTGTAAGTATAAAAAATATCAGCGGCGGTCTTTCACAATCCATGTGCTATAAGGGAAAAAATTCGTAATACATTAAAATCAACATACGAAACGCATGACAGTGTAGAGAGATAAGGAATATTCTCTACGTCATAGATGGTGCTCTGTGTGTTACTCTGGTAGCAATAATGATGGAAACCAAAAATCACTTGTCATTTGTCATGCATCATTTTGACGACTAGAAACACTCTTATTCCCGTCACAGTGAATCAGTGGACAACTGGAGATTACTAATGGTAATAGAAAAGTTCCGATAGTAGCATGAGGACTGATGTAACGGTTGGCTGCCACTAATGTAGCAAAATATACGCACGACCCAGCCATCTTTTTTTTTACTTCTCATTCTGCAGCTTTGGTGTCTCCCATGTAATTCCTTAGGATTTTTTTGTTCTTGTTTCAAGAATCCAATGTGGTTTTCTTCATGTATTTCTATATTATTTTGGAACTATTTCATCCACCATGGAAATTATTCAGCCATCAGTTCTCCACGACGGGAAAATTAGCCTATCCATATAGGGGAATCCACCATCCTGCAGTCACTGTTTCAATACAGAAGCATTTTCACGAACTATTTACGGCTGATATATCCGATTTTGTTGTGAAAATATGAATCGGATGCTGTTAAGCTTGGGTGAAAACATGCTCTAAAAAGATTCATTTCACTGGCAAGCGCAAAAGAACCATAATCTACTCCAAAAGAATTATCCGGTAAAAGATGAAGAGAGGACAATTAGAGATCATTATAATTGGTGCGGTATAATGGTGCTCAAATGGAAAGAGGGAAGGAACTGTGCGGGCTCCAGAGTAATCACCACTTATCTGAGATTTTCAGGTTAAGTCACTGTGGTTCTCCTGAATACCGAGGTCAACCTGGGCAAAGTCTGCCCCAGGTCTTCACTACCACGAGCAGTCGAGGCCCGTGTGGATCAGGGAGAGATTTGCCACCATGCGACTTTGATACCAGGACGGTGGCGGATCCTGGTACTGGTTTACCCTTAGCCAGGCTTCCAGATGGAAACATCGGACTCCTTCTCAGCTTGGGAGATCCTGTCGGGAGGACGAATCTCCCGCTGTACATCGCAGTCCGATACCTAGGAACACCTTCCAGCCACGATGAGGCGGTAAACCGTTAGGAGGGGTGAAGCTAAAGAAAAAACCACTAAGTACTGGGTACAATTTTTTTCTCCACACCTTATGTTTTTACTCTACTTCGTTACTCATACATATCAGGCAAATTAAAGTATGATTAAATGCAAGCGCATGCAGAAAACATGGGTGAAAAACTCAGCACTCCATTTCTATTTGATTCTAGTGGAAGACTGCCTATATCTCAATTTAGCTATCTTTTGGAACGGAGTTTATAAAGTGGAAGATCTTTTAGTTACTACAAGAAACTGCTAAAATGTCGTTTTTCTAATTCTACTGAAGGCGATGAGAAGCGCAGTGTTTAGTTACGAAGTTCATCAGGAAACAAGGCGCTAGTTCGGCTCTCACTCTAACTCTCTCTCCCTGACTTTCTCCTTCTCCTCATGCTAAAACGCTTTATCTGAGCTATCTTTAAGATTGCAAGGAGAATCGACTCGAACAGCACTCTAGACACTAATAAAAATAGGACGAAATCTTCAAGCACCCATTGAAGAAATAAGCGAAATGTTCGAAGACCTCTGTGGACGATGAATGCGAGGATAACGAATAGAATGCAAGAAGTGCTGAGGTCCGCACCTTAGATGTGATGGAACGTTCTACTCCAAAGCGTTCGAAGCAAAGTAGTAATAGATAAAGCTCTGTAAACTATTCGTTTACACTATTTTAAAAATAAAAAAGCAATGGAAATGTGAATTTTAAAAAGAGGAAGCTGAGAAACAAATTTATTTGAACATGATATTCGGAACTTTAATGGAAGATTAGGAGAATAAGAATTGACAATGTGTAATAATTGTAAGCAGAATAGTATGTATAGGCATATTGATGAACACGCACTCTGTGAAAATACAGTCCTTTCACTGTCAATAACTCTTGTAACACGGTGTGTGTAGCGCAGTGCTTAAAGGTGCTTTGCAAAACTCACGCGCGCGTTAGTTCGAACCCGCGCTTTGAGCTCACTAAGCCTTCATTTCCTCAGGGTTCGACAAATTGGCACCAGAATTGTCTGGAAAGATGAAAGCACTGACTTGATACAATGTTTAGTCACCAAAATTCATTGTACAGATAGGTTCTCTATTGAATCACCTCTAACGATCCTTGATAAAGTTGAATGCACTTCGCGTCCCTCAGGGTTTAATGAGCGGCGAACGCTTTATCCTTTGATATATCCATTATTTAGTTTAATTTCAATATCTCTGGACCTCTAACATAATGATTAAAGGACTTAAAGTTGAGATAAATCACGCCTTCCAATGCGGTCCACTGAGTGTTCAGCACGACAGTATCCCCCAACCAAACACACTAGGTTTGTCGGTGACGAAGAGTTCCGCGATGGCTAAGTCGGAAAGAAAAATGGAGGCTTTTGTTGGATTTTCACCAACCTCGGAGTTTAAAGTTGAAATTACGAAGTACCAACATATAACTTTTTTAGCTTATTATTTACTCTGCTATTTACTATTTACTTTGCCTACTCTTTTTAACGGCAAGGTATATATTGCGAAATATAACTTCAATGATGCTGAGATATTTGCAAAACTCTGGACAGCAGGTGTTTGCGGTGGAGAACGAACGCGCTATTGTCCTTGCCAGGGAGTAACGCGTTCACCAGCACACCATGTGAACCCTTCGTCTCGCTGTCCCTCAGCTAGTTCTATCGATCTCTTGCCATCAGCAATCATTGAAGTTATATTTTGCAACGTGTATTCATTTGGATTCTTGCCGATTCGGAGATCATGCTTCATACCACGTAGCTTGTACTAACAAAGATTCTGCGACGATAAATGCAACACCTTTGCTAAGTACAAAGTACGTGGAAGAATTAAAGGTGTGTTGATGTGAGAAAATAGTGCGCACGTGAGGATGGTGTTTCAAGTAACTGCGTATGTTGGCACATGAATGCAATCGGTCATCGGACGGAAACGCTTTGATGACGGACTAAGTTTCTCATTTCGAAACCGTTTGCGACTGCTTTTCAGCAAACATGTGGCGACGACTAGGTCAAGACAATACAAAACACAAAACTTCAGGCATTCGCCGGCTAATGCATAACGGTGGGTTCCGAAACGCTGCAAAAAAGGATCGTTGATCAGTATAACTGGAAGAACTCACCATTTGGGCCATGTTTACACATACGTTTGCTCAGAATATAGCAACTTGGTGGTTGGTAGCGTAAGAATTGAATAAAATGCACGATGAGACCAAATACTTGATGTTTCAGTCTTCAGCAAAAGATGTGGTAACGTTGAGTAATATAACTATTTAACTGCAAGTTAGGTCTTCCACCTTTTATATTCTGTTGCTGTGCGAAATGACTCAGCCACACGCCCACTGACAGGCAAAGGGTTGTGAAATACCGCGTTATCGCACTAAACGCGAACAAACACACTATGACTCATAGACGAATGGATGGCTGGAAGAATTCCTGTTTCTCTGATTCACAGCAAGTATGGATTTCGTCATTCGTGATGAACGAAAACATGTCGGAGTAACAGTATGCACATTCTTAACCTTTTTATTTGCTGCCTATTCTTTTTAACGGTAGGGTATGTTGCGAAATATAACTTCTGTAATGCTGAGATACTTGCAAAACTTCGAACCGCAGGTGTCTGCAGTAGGGAACGAACACGCTATTATCCTTTCCGGGGAGTAATGCGTTCACCACCACACCATGCGGGTCCTTCGTTTCGCCTGTCTCTCAGCCAGTTCTATCGATCACTTTCCACGCACATTGGAAAAGTTAAGTGCGGTCAGTCTTCGTGAAGAGTAATGCGTCAACTTCAGAATAACCTTAATCATTTGATTGTGGCACACAGCTTCTTCATACATTCTATAACATAATTCTTAAGCACCCTGATAATAGCGCCTGGCTACTCGGTTCATGTTTTCGAAACTTAATCGCGTAATGAGATTAACTCCTTGTCCAATGCTGTTGTTGAATACGGGATAGTTCGGAATATGATGGTTTCCGATGTCTGTCGAAGTTTTATACTCGCAAACAATCATTATTGAGTTCAATGGCTAGAAATAACTTTTGACGAACCTTTTATAGAATCATCTCATCTTCATGGTGCATACATATTTCTATAGAATAAAAAAGGTGTGTCATCAGTTTACTTTGCCATTGGACAAAAACTGACATGAAAACTCATTGATTGCATATCCTGATATAATTTCCTATTGGATTAGCGACACAGGCACTGAAGTAATACACTGAACTCCATTATAATTAGGAGTGAAGATCGATTCTGAACTCTCGTGTAACGTAGGCATTCGGCCCTTTAATCACCATTAGGTGATTATTACGATCGTAGTCGAAGTCGAGTGATTCAGGCATAAAATCTGAAATTATCACTGAGATCTTAGGGGATGTAGTTGCCGATTACCTTTTATGTGATGTGAGTTGGATCGCGATTCGATGCTTGCTTGGCAACTGCGAACATATAAGTTAAGTTCACCACACACCGTCTAAGTAGATGTGAGCCGTTCTTGGATAAAACGTTGCGCCACGAATGACGATTTTGTCGATTTGAACATCGCTATCCATTGTGCCTCTCTTGTCAAGATTTTTGTTAACGATTGTGTGCAGGTAATCGTGTTCCCTGAGAAAAGAGTTCAGTAAGTCTAGTTGCTTTTCTTTTGTACATCTGTTCTTAGCTACCCACCGTCTGAAAATTATTGCCCAATATGCATATTCTCCATTTTTATACGCGTAACTTTCTCCATCGTCGAAATAAATCGTTCCATTGGCGAAATCTCCTAAGAATTAGTATACGATCATTCAACATACCGTTGCAAACATTTCACTGTTTTACTATTAGGTTATTTGGAAAGAAGCTGTTGCGCATCTTCACATTCAGCATTTTATTGCCCTTCTCAGATGTTTCTATGATTTATTTTAGCCAATGCGAAACATCTTTTATGACACTGTACAAATTAAGCTTGTGGAGGTTTCTACGCAAATTGGAATTAGGCGGTTCGCGAACATGCGTTCATGGATCATGGGATATAATGAAGCATCAGATGTTACGCTCCAGACATGGTTCGACAGTTTCGACTTTGGTAGTTCTCAAAACAAGAAGCAAACAGCACTATTTTCGATAGTGGATCATGACTTTTAAAGAAGATAGTCGAGCACGATTCCTGGAAAGCTGTCGAAGAGACTGTTTCAGAAATGAGGTTTTCAATGTATTACATCTTTGAACATGTTAGGATATCGACGAAATTTGGATAACAGACCGTAGAAGCAGTCAAATGTTGCGGCAATTTAATACTTGCAAAGTATGACGAAAATGTGATTCTTTATGACAACACGAAATGGAATGATTCATGTGAACTGATGGGTCTCAGAAGAATGTTCTTAGGAGCAAAACGCGCGTAGACGAGATCGTAAACATTATTTGGTGTTCAACCATGGAATCCATCCGTGTTCTTCGATATCGTGGTAGAACCATATTGTAATTAACAGATGAAAATGCACGCAAAGCAGTCAAATGCAGAAAGCACTCATCAGTCGTAAAGGTTTTACACTATAACCACAACCGCATGATCCCACATGTAGCGCTGATCGTCGTAAAGAAACAGAAAAGTCAAAGTCTGCGACAATGTGTCACTTTCCATACCTGAGTAGACCACTGACCAACCTTTTTCACTCTAGGAAACATCTGGGCAACTCAAGCATTAAAAAAAAGTATTCGAGGATTAGCAATGAATAATAAACGTCTTCCAAAATTTCTACGATTCTAAAACCTCAGAACTGATATACTTGTGTTACACACTGGGGCATATGGAAACATCCATAACTTCCCGAATGATTATGTATATGTATATATATATATATAAATATAGGTTAAAAGAGGATAAATCTCTCGGAGCTGATTAATCCTTGAGGGTGTGTCACGAATTCGACTTCACCGAACTTCGCAGAAGTAAATTAATGCATATCTGCCCAATAGAATGACTATTGGTGGTCTAGCGTAGTATCTGGTCAGTGGTACCATTCTCCCAGAGAAGTTTGGTACCAATATGCCGATCCCTGAAGGATCGAAAGCTTGGTGAACTCAGGATGCGTAATCGAAGCAACGATTACGTGTGAATTCCAGGGCACCTCTAACCACTGCGCTATACGTTGCCATGTATATATATTTTTAGTTTTATGTGTATAAGTACATATGGTCTAAAATATATAATGCTTAAAGCATTAGATAGTGTGAAGATAGTGGTTTTTCCGCAATTTTGCATGATAATACTTCGACTCGTCACAGTTGAATTCACAAAGCTTACCTTTTATGTTTAGAGCGATGTAAAGGGTTATTGGAGCTGTTCGCATCAATTCGCTGGATCGTCCCACATGTTCTCGAAAAGGAATCACAGTTCCTAGGGTGAATTTCATCTTTCCATAAAAAGGACTTGATTAATAAAGAAAAAATTAGAAAGTGTGGAAGAGCCAAGTCAAAGTTTTAATGCTGATATAAAACAGGACATTAGAGCTATTAGGTCCCTCCGAATTCAATGTCCGACTTCAACCTGTAGAGTCATTGTGACATATCTCAGCTCGGAATAAACTACTTTGACCGAAATAAAAACAGTTAGAATGAACACATTACTTCCAAAAAGAAGCGAGTTTATTTATTCTAGTTTCATAAAATTCTGGCTTTCTGGATGCAATGAAGCCGCTGAGGGCAGTTTCGGCCTCGGCATGGTTTATGAAATATTTCACGTACAGATATTTGTCGAGGTGTTTGAAGAAGAGTTAGCAGGTAGGTCCGGCGAGTGTGGTGGATGAGACAGAGTTTCGTAGCCTAGTTCGTTAAAATTTTGTAATGTCTATTGTATGACGCGGAAAAAGATTGCCGCCTTTTTGTTGACCCTTGGAGAGCATAGCCGCTGAAGACTCTGGTGCATACCGTGGTAATGGACGTAATTCGTCGCCGTGATCGTTCCACCCGGAATTACGAAGTTGTGATCGATTAAACCATGAGCAAACCACGGAATGCTCAGCATGACTTAGTTTCGGTGCAATTTCGAGTTTGGAAAGAACTGCGGAGATTCATCGTGGTCAAATAAGTAAGACGATCGCTTCAATTCGCCTCAATTATCATAGACGATTCATATGTCGTCGAACGTCACACTGTGGGCGAGGAAGAGGTCGTTCTAATTGTGCAGAAGAAGCTCAGCTGATATATCAAAATGGGAATTTCGTTGATTATCAACCAGTCAATACGGTGTCCATCTATTGAGCTTCTGAGCCTTTCTAACTTTTTTCGGATAACCTAAAATAGTTTAACACTAAAACCGAGTTCTCCTATAAGTTTTCAAATAGTTATTCATTTATCTGCCTACAGAAGAGTCTTCAAATAGTCGTTAATAACACAAGGACGTCCACAATCTTACTTTTCATCAACATGGTGCTCGCCACGACTAAATTTTCCAAGTCAACGTTCTATTGCACACTCTTTAAGTACTCATTGATCCCACACTTCATTAAAATTTCAAGCCGTTTGCGATGGCCACGTCGGAGTTTGAATTCGTAGAAGTAGATTTGCTCGTACTGCTTCATTGACATCTCGTATTTTCACCTTTAAAACTGGTCAAAAAGACGATCCGTGTCATAATTCAACTACGCCAAAAAAGTGAATGAGATAGGCTTTACAATGATATATAATATTACAGTATTGGAGGGAAACTATAGCTGGAACCTGAGATATTTGCAAAACCCAATGCCAGATTCGAACTCGCGATTACCCTTTTTGTGGGGTTGGATTCTTGAGTCTCTTGGCTTGGCTTTCTCTCAGCCAGTTTTCCACCCTAACGGTGGCTTCAACAGTCACTCGTCAACGGGTGTTACCTGTGGAGCATAAATCAGCATTGAACTCAGTTAAGCTGAGGATGTAGTTGAAAATCACAATGTGCTTGTGATTTGTTATTTAACATTACTATTTAATATTTATATACTCATTGTTGCGTGAATATCTGCAAGAAAAATGAAGTTACAAGTCGGGAATTAATTTCTGAGCAACCTAATGTTGTAAGCCATGTGAATTTCGAAATTACAAGCATTTGACAAAGATTTGTTCATATTCTGCCCGAAGGAAAAAATCGCTAGAAGCCTCGGAAGTATGGAAAATGTGAAACTGGTTTTTCTTGTTGAAAGTTTTTAACGTAACATAATCCTAACTGAGACAGCTGGCTGAGAGACAGGCAAAACGAAGGACCCGGATGGTGTGGTGGTGAAGTGCGCTGCTCTCCGGTAAGGACAACAGCGCGTGTTCGTTCCCCACTGCATACACCTGCGGTCCGCACTTTTGCAAATATCTCAGCATTTCACACGAGTTACATTTCGCAACATACCCTGCCATTAAGAAGAAAAAGGCGGTAAATAAAAGGGTTAAGGTAATCATAATTATTTTATCTCATCACACAGAACTGAAGTTTTTTCTGTTTTGTATTTATTTCTGGTATTACGACATGATTATTGAATGGAAAATGATTTATGGCACCTCACCACCCCTTTGGTACATCGGAATTGTTTCAAGAGTTACAGAAGACTGCACAGCTCCAGGAGACGGTCTGGGCTTGGAATCCTCCCAGTCGTACCAGATCTGTAGATTCATTCTATTCGTTTTTTTCTTCGCTATTTTACTTCTACAATGCCAGCTACTATACTAATAGGTTTTATCGGTTCCGAACTTTATAATTTTCATAAATAGCGTAGTGGAATTCCTCTTATTTCTTACATTGAACTGCAATAATTTAAAATTAAAAACAACAATCGTGGAGAATGAGAGTGAAGACGTGGATAGATAAGATAAGACAAGAAAACAATTCTGATGCTTCACACGCGAACAGGAGTGACTTTCAAAACATAGGTGTTGAGAGAACGAAATTTTGCTAGTACTTTATGCTACTTTAAACCACTTTGTTCTTCTTACCTCTCTTCTTCCAGGAAGGTATAGTGAAACCTGAATTGCTCCTGCCTCAACTATCGGCTTAACCAATAAAGCATTGCCAACCATCCATTGTCGGTCTTCGTCATATGATGCCTGAGAGTTTTTTAATTTCGAATATTTTTCTACAGTATCTTGAAACTCATGAATTTGAACATTTTGTCGTAACCATGAGTACGTCCCTCGGCGCGGAAGTAATGCAAAACAACTGAATTCTTAGCCAAAATTTCCATGAAATCCATACCTCATCGTCAGAAAACTCCAGCCAAAATGGTCGCATAGGTGGTTTTCCTGTTAATGTATGCTCGTAGAAAAGGGTATACCTGTGACAGATTTAATGGAATTCATAAAACTAGAGCTAAAACAAGTGGAAACATTTTTCTAGAATACCTCGCAGAAGTTCTTCATAATTTCTAGTCAAAACTTCAACAATGAGGAATACTACCAGTAGGGAAGCAGCTGATATCGCTTCACAATTGCTTGTCGAATAGCATTGGTGGTCGTCTGATTGAATAACCACGGCTCCCTCCTATTCGAGTCCAGGTGAGCGTGAGCGCGAAAGAATGGTTGGAAAGCGGAAGCTTGATACCTACGTTTTAAATTCAACGTAAAATGCACCGGTTCCGGTTATATGGGTATGACTTGGAAGTGAATTTTCCTAACCATCGTACTAAAAGTTCCTCATCAGGATTTCCAAAAAATCCACCGACATCAGCGCCAACGTGCGGAATCCCGGCTATAGATAACGTAAGCAACATGGGAATTGTAGCCTAAATGAATTAGACCCTCTGGAAATTCAAAGTAGTATAAGAAGTAAATTAACAATCCAGTGTATCTACCTTGATGTCACAATATCAGAACATTTTCCGATAGCGAAAAATCGTCTAGTCATCTGGCAACCATTTGGAAATAATAAGGCTTCCAAAGATCAACATTTATAGAAGTACCTTAAGATGAGACCATTCGGCCCTGTTGTCTCCAGTCCACACAGCGGCTGTTCGTTGTGACCCTGCGAAGAAGGCCCGAGTGAGAACGAAAGGTCGCCAATTACCGCCACTTCTAGCTAACTGACCAACAAACGTGGATTCATGCTAAATCAATGATATAACTATTGAGCCTTGAGTGCCAATGATTAGGCAACAATGTCGCACTGCATTTCCTAGGTCCACATGGACACATCATGTAAGAACGACTACTCAGTTTTTTTACTGCCTTGACGCTAGCAAAAATTATTTGGCACGTACGCTTACGTTATAAAAAGCGTAAATGTTGTGAACTTCTCGATGTTCACGTCCGCCATGGTGAACAAGATCCTTTTCCATTGTCCCCTAAATTTGGCCGAAAGAAAATTTTGAAAAAAACTTTTTTTTGGAAATTTCTTGGAAAAGCGTTAAAGATACTACAGTCTTCAGTACTGGGTATAAGAAAATACCTCCGGTCCAGAAAAAACAGATGGTTCGTTCATATCGTTCCATGTGTAAACGTCCTTCGTGGAGCCCACGTACTACAATCATTATTGTAGAATTTCTTCCGACAATTTTTCAGTCATTTTTTTAAAGGACAGCACACGAGCGCTTTCATAGCCAGTAATTTTCCATGCCTTGCCTTATTTTAGCGCTTGTGGTTTAGCAAATAATGCTTGTCATTTCGTTAAAAAGTTCTTGTATGTTGTGAGCCACACTATTACCCACTCAGCATGTGAATTTCGTTCTTGTAGCTAGTTTTAAACTTGAGCGTTTTTGGAAGATTTTTTCAACTCCCAGAATATTATCCACACAGCTGAAACTTTAATGATATTAGAGTGCGATTTTCCAAACCTTATCAAAAGCAAACTGATCTGCCCAGAATTTTCGTGCTTCTGGGTTAATGAAGTCAATGTAGCTAGATTCGCCTGGCCAGCAATTGCCTTCATAGATAGTACCATCTCTCTTCCGCACAAAAAATCCCTTTGAAAATAAAGACATGATCACTGCCAAGTGAATGCAGTTAGGTCTTTTTTTTTACTATAACGCAAAACCTACTTCGTTCTTCGCCGCTGCATATACAGGATACTTGTTATCCTTCTTAATATGAGGATCTACAGTTGTTACCAATTTGCGACCCTTAAAACGGATAAAAAATGTTTCCAGAAATGAAAGCAAAGTATTCAAATAATCAATGACAAAATTGCCTTTGAGGTCAAATCCTTCATCATAAGCTCTGGGTCCGGAAATTTTTCCTTGTCCCAGGTGAAATATCGCTTCCCGTCGGTGTGCTCAATATCAAGCCACATAACGTCTAATGGAATGTCGTGCTCATCAAATCCATGGTGAACCTATGACGATTCATAGAGCAGAATTGATTTATATCTAACAGAGGCTGGAAAACTACTTCTTTAACGTCCGTATGATTGTTGTAGTTCCATCGTGACTGATGATAAGCCAATGCGAATTCCTGAAATTGCAAGATTCACACATGTATCCAGATATTTGCTTTTCTCAGTAATTGAAGAAAATTGCTAGTAAAGCATATTAACTGGAGGCAGCGGATAAACGCCGGTGAGAGCTGCTAATTGACGGAATGAATCGTGGGGTTGCGGTCCAAGAGTTACAAAAAGGTCTATGACACCCGTTTCAGACATGAAGTGTGTATTGATTTGGTGAACATTCTTAGCCTGCGTATCCACGTCCTCGACTAACACTGCAATCGGACCCTAAAATTAATTTGTTAAATCGATAACAAGGGTTGTGAAAACTGAGAAGAATGACGTCAGGTTTAGTGCTCACAGAATTTATGTGAAGATAGAAAATTTGAATACGTTGGCTTGTTAGGCTATAAAACATACTTCCTAACAAATACCGCAAAGAAGCTACTCGAAGTACGAAGGTTGGTGCTTGTTTTTCAAATGGTTTTACCTTATCTGCCGTTGTGTACTCAATGTCAACCCATGTCTCGGCTGCATTAAGCCACAGTAATCCGAGACTTCTTTTCGAATTCACAGCAGCCTAAAAACTCTGAATTAACTATGGAAGGGGCCCATTAAAAAAGCCAAAAAATCGGTTTGGATTTAAAATGACCATATATGGCACGGATCCGTAAAGAGCCATAGGCGAATAGAGTTCATACTCAAATACGTCCAAGTTGTAAAGGCGGTATGGTTCATAATTTCTGAAAGCAAATACAAGAACTGGACTGTTATCTGTTCACACAGTTATTACAGAGATATAAATGGTGTGAGAAATAAATGCAGGTTGTTAATTTCCTTGAATGAATGAGAAAGACTTACTTGGTATCGCGAAGAGCGAGTGATTCGGCGTGCTCGGGTAGTCCAAAGGCGAATTGCATATCAACTAAGGCGATGTCTAGCCCAATGGAAGAAGAGCATAAAACAATTAATATTTAACAGTAAGTCATTTAAAGTCATTTAATAGTGCTTAAAAACTTTTTTGTGAGTATCACAACATTCTCAATGTCTCTTCTCTGTGTTCCACCTTTAAAATAAGTTTTTACAATCGGAGATCCATCATCCCATTGAGGAAAATCACACTGCTGCCAGAAAGCGGCAAAAAGCTGTGGCGTGTTCTTGATTTAGTTTAACACTAGAAATCCTTTTTAAGAAATTGTACTTAGTAGACTAGGATGAGAGGCCGATCGGTGCGAAACACTTCAGAGTAAGGGCAGTAGAAAAGAAGTGTGGTCTTTGACAACTTCGAAGAACAATAGCTAAAACAGTGATCATTTTTTAGATCTAATAATATCGACCTAATAATTTACTAAGGTGACATGATCTAACTGAAAAAGAATATTTCTTTTAGTTTGTCTCACTGATTTCCTTTTGCTCTCCCTACTCAGTGGTCCAACCTCTTACAGTGGGGTTGGTGACTAGTTTCTGTAAGGATCGAACTGTAATGTACAGTAGTACGTTCACCTGATTGCGCGCAGCTGCCTTCTTGAGGACATCATAACAACGCTACCTTGAGATTCCAGGGAAGAAAACTGCTGAACCATTAATACGTCGACTTTGATGAATCACGCCTAGGTTTACTGGTAGGAGATGAAGGGACATAAATTTCAGTCCACTTAAACAGAACCAAAGCCGCAAGGTTACGACATTACTCGGAGACTGTTTTTTGCCTTCCATGTAAAACGCCAAAGTAGCTTCTTGCGCCGACTTCCACTGTGTAAAAAAAGTAGCTAGAAATTTTGGCACACTGCTGTGACTGGCCGTACAGAAATTGCAGTTTTCACTACATTACCTCAAATGCTCAAACGCGAGTTGTCAATCAAACATGCATGCAAATAATGAGCTGATGCGAAACGTGAACAATAAATATTGAAATAAGTTACGCAGTAAGGAATAATTTTGCATAAGAAATAGTGTATACACAAGATGAAAGTATCTTAGTGTAATCTGCAACGTGCAAAGTATTTTATATAAGATATAGAAAGTCTTTCTAACGTGATCACCCTGCAGGAACTCAAGAGCAAGACTGCCGACACGCATCAACTCTAAACGACGAGATTCTTGCTATCCGTTGGGTGCCAATGCGCAGAAGGATGATTTATATAATCAATTGCTATACACCAACTGGCGCAGCTGGCGATAATGAATTAAATGGAATCTGCAGTGAGATCATGGCACTTACCTCATCGAAATGGCTTCCTAATTTTGTTTTTGTTACTGGAGGCTTCAACGCCAGAAAAGGATAACCGATAAGGAAACACAAAATCGGAAAAATTAAAATAGTATACAAAAACCAAAATGGATATTTTGACTGACTTCTGGCCACAGTATGCGTTTTCACTGAAACTCGATTTTGGAGAACAGAGGCGTCATCACGAGACATAGGAAGTGCTTGATAGTGTGACCAATATAAAGACTCATCACATGCTCACGAACATAAGATTACCTTATACAATTTTCCTCTCTTCATAAAGCCGAATAAACCATTTATTGGTTCGAAAACTACTCGGTTTTCTTGAGTGGATTGCGAATGGAATTGCCACAATGGATAAATCAAAAATCCCACTACTAACAGCGGATTCAACCACAGCCTTTACTGCTGTGTCACTGGATTCCATCACAGTAACCATTATGCGAAAATCGATTCAGCAGCAAGCTATAAAAACTCTCACAGCATAGAGAAGGAAAAATAAATTAAATACGAAATAATATTTCAGATGGGATTTATACAATTTGGACGGGATTTATTCCACAAATGGTTGGAAGATCGGGAACGTAAAATTGCCAATTCCATGGGCTACGAAACTGCAGTTACTCGAGATAGGGGTAGAAGAAAGTGCATGCCCCTGTAGAATAATTACAGCGAAACTAGCACGTAGCTGTCTGAATAACCGTCTACGAACAACGCAGAATTGCGTAATATGCTCTAACGGTGTAAACGGTTACTGCATGAGTTTGGGTATAGCTTATCTGATCTCAAGGAAAGCGTGAGGGGAGGGAGGGAAAGTACATTAGCGAAACGGGTAGAGCACTCTGCGTCTCTATAAAAGAATACCTTATCAGTAAGTGTAAAGTTAAGCAATGCTTAGCAAGTTATGCTTCACTAGGTGCACACAGAACTCACAGACATAACGGAAAAGATTTTGAAGTAGCAGTCATAAACCTCGTGTAGGAATTTAAAAGCTTACGGCGTAAAAATTTTTACACATTTTGGATAAATTCCAAAAATCGAAAACTTGAATAGCAAGGAAGAGTGCCTTGTGATCACGCGTGATCTCAAACTTTATCTGAGACCGATATTTTAATGCGAGAGAGGAGCATTACCCATCTCCGTGAACTCTGTGAGGTCAGGCTCCACGTGAAATACTCAATGGAAGAAAACCCATACAAAGCGGTGAATAAGCGAAGAAGCTAATCTTTTCCAATGTGATTAAAATCTAGGTTCCGCTTTTTTTACAGTCGACTTTACCTTGCAGCACCTGAAGAAGACGAAATACCGAAAAGCCGAAACGTCAGTTCTTGTGAGCAAAGAGTATGGTAACAACCGCGTATATGCTCATCAAGAAAGCAGCGAATTATTATTGGTCGATGCAGAAAATAAAAGAAAATCGCTCTTGAGAATTTGTGAGGAAAAGAGTGGTAGACACAGTTTAAAGAAATGTCTATAGGCCGACTGTCATATGTTTCTTTAGCAGCCTCGTGAACGAGAATGGTTTTACTATTGCATCTCACCACCACATGAAATTGAACACACAGGATTTACTCAGTAGTTTCCCTCCCAACACTCTCATTTTAGACCAGAGAAACTTTATTGAAGAAAGAACAAACCTGATTCTTCACTCTAAAATCTAAGAAACAATCAGCAGTGAATATTACCCAGGAATTGCTGTAGCTTTTGTCGATCACCAAAAGCGTTCACAGTGGCGAAATAAACGTTTGTTGGGTGTTATGGTAAATCGTGTACTAAAACACAGCTCTTCTATCAGATGCTCGCCATCCCTACTAAAAGAGGGGTTCAGCATGGTTGCACCATTAATGCGAAGCTGTAGCAGTGCAATGGGTGAATGGGAGATGAATTGGCCAGATCCTCATGGTAAATGCGTCGATGACATGTCACTATACCATCGCTTTACCAGTGACATTGTCATCTTCTCTGCAACCCACCACTAAGAGTGAGGCGATGATTAAATACCTCAGAGAAGAGTCCAAGGAATAGAGGTGTGAAAAAATCGTCAAAAGCCTTATTAACGAAAAGCTGATTATGCATCTACGGCGTTCAGTGGCCGTGGAAGACAAAATGAACGAATTGTGAAGAAGAATGAGAGCGATGTGAGCCACGATAGGGCTTCTTAGGGAAAGCAACGATCATTTGACGGACACAGAATTCCGCGTCATCCCACTGGACTTAGCGCACCTTTGTCGCAGCTCAGATTTAGCAAAAAAAATCAAAAAAAAGCAAAGAAAGCTCGTAATTTTGTTCACCTTTCATTAAATTTGCAAGAGATATCTTCTGAAATACAGCTGACTCATGTAATATCTTTTTACACTTTGCACCTAACACTTTTGACGAATGTGAGCAATTATGATTCAAGGAACACAAAATATTACTCTAAGATACCACAATTAAAAATCCCTCTACTGTCGTATGTAACGATCGTTAGGAGAAGAATAGAGAATTTTTTGGGTACATGCGACCTCAGTGTGTAAACGGCTTCATTACATACCTGGTTACTTCGGCCTAAGTCATTTTTGGAGTGGGCATTTATCAACAGCTGTTTTAAAGCTAACAATATAATACTATAGACTATTAGTGATAATATCACTATTTCAACTTTACCGTATGGTTTTGAATCCTTGTACTCCTTGAACGTCTCTTCCCAGTATCCTTTTTCACGATCAGTTAGAAGCACCTTCTTTTTGAATGGCTCCACCATAAGAAGGCCGGCAGAATTAATGGAGGCAACCTTGGAAAAGTGAAATAACCCGTTGTGGTCAGAAGATTTGTTTTCATAACATATTTCTTACTAGTATTTCCTTCGAGTAAAGATCTATCCTGAACGGACTATTGTTGACCACGACTCTATGTCCATCTTCCGTAAATAATGTTGAGGTTGCTTTCTCGGTTTTTGTCCTTTTGAGTCTGAAGTTTCTTGTATCACTTCATGGACTTGACTTTCTCCAACCTAAAAACCTCACTTCTGCTGTTTTGGGTCACTCTCGACCAGACAGTCGAGTGGTCGATAACGCTTCCGTATCGCTCCAGGAAGTTCATCGATTATTATCCTAGAGTAACGTTCAAAAAAGTGCCGATTTCATTTTTAGAATTCACACTTTCTTTAACATCCACTGAACGATTTATACTAGAATAAAATATCGTTCTTCGCAAAGCTAGAAACAAGAAGAATCTTAGAAATGATAAAACTTTGTATTAAATGTTCTATAGCGCTTCACTCTAGTGTTTTTCCACTAGATCTATTAAATGATACTTGGACAAAGTTGTGATTTATGAATGGAGATCTCACCGAAAAGTCGAATCGTGTAAAGCAATAAGAAAGAGGTCGAGTGTGAGATCCTAAAAATCAGTCACATTGATGAACGCAAATTAAACGAGTACATGACTGATGATCACTACCCGTCATGTAACTTTTATAACAAAGGTAAAAATAATATAAACAAAAAAGTGATAGGTTTTTCTTTCGAAACACTAAATATTTGTTTACAAATAAGGTCTTCTGCTTTTGTGTTCATAACATTTACCAGCTGAAGGTCATATTCCACCTTACCTCTGTTAAATACTAATTTGTATCCAACCATAAGGCTGGGAAGATAGCAAAGCACGTGGCCTCATTTGAGCCTTGAGCGCGCGACTATCCTTTTAGCAGGTTCACGTGTTATCCACCACACCTATCGAGGCCTTTGTCTTGCCATTCTCTCAGCTATACTTTTACTCTAACGGTTCTACTAGTAGACATCCGTCGGCGGGAATGATTTAAAAAACTGGTTGAGAGAAAAGCAAAACAATGGCATCGGTTGGTATAGTGGATAGCACGTTATACCCCGAAAAGCATAATCACGGGTTCGAAGTCTCACAGAGGCCTCGAGGGTCACTCATATCTCACATCTTTGTGGTTGTATTTTGCATTATACCCTACTAAGAGGAAAAATAGGCAGCAAATAAAGAGTTGAACATCGCAATTTGATTCAATCTAGGATAATGGACGAAAATGAAAAATATTGATTTAGGTAGTGTTCTTCTTCAGACTTGAACCCAAATAGGAGAAGCCGGTTGGATGCATACTTATTGCTGCATGTATCCAGAGAAACGCTAAAGCGGATACGGTGATAGACAATTCTCAAAAATTTTATAACAGAGATAAGGATAGTGAAGGTTATAAAGGACGGGAAGTCGAATATCCTAATCATCCCCTCTCACCGACTGCTTCGATTGTGGTGGCACATGCCATTATCATGTCAAATGTGAAGCATTCTCTCCTGGAAAGCCACCTGAAATAGACCACAGACGATTGTTATGAGCCTAAAAAATATCCAGCCACGTCATATGTGAGCGCCATGGATAGGATTAAATCTCCTTAACGTTTATTTCACAGTTTTTCTCGTCTATCTGTCGTTGAGTGCTCTCATCACTTGACAGGACAGCCACTGTTTCGTCCTTGAAATGTGTGTTCTTGATTATCTAAGGAGAAATAATTTTCGTAACCATGAAATGCGCTGTATGCGTTGATACTGTGTGTGTCGGTGATATCCCAAAAGGTGTTCATGAGACATTCTCTGAGTGAAATGTAAAATCCTCGACGTTGTTGGAATATCACCTCAAGCCTTAGCTGCATAGCAGTGTTTGACTGAAGGCTAATTCAAAAAAGACAACACAGGGTTTTTGGTCTGTCAACGAGGCGGTTACTCCGCTGAAGTTTTTAACGGGGATGACGTTGCTTCAACTCTTCTGCAGAATCCCTTTATTATTTTCCTATACGCTATAAACGCTATAGGTGCCTGTTTAATCTTGTCTCTAATCAAAGTACCATCTATTGAAATTTGTTATTCATGGCAAAGTCAGACTTGGTGAGTTAAATTCATGGTAATTTAGTTGTAATACTGTGTATGATCAGTACACCCTTTGATCAACGGGAGCTAACAGAACAACATCTGTCTCAACATTATCACGTGCAACCAATAATCGATCGAAAATCCCGAAAATTCTAAAAGTTCTCCATTCGCCTTGCAACTGTTCGAATATGAACCGTGCGGCACAGTCGTTGATGAGGTTAGGTTTATCCAATTGTGAAATCCCATAGGTTTTTTTTTGTTAATTACTGCAGGCCTCTTTGTTAGAATTTGTAGAACGTCTTCAAGATGGAAGATAGAAGCTTTCCTTAGCCATCGTCATATCAAGCATAAAGTCTTGATAGCCTTATCCTCACTTATCATTTCTTATAGAGGTGCACGATATTTTCGTAGGTTTCTGTAGAAATTCTTTAGAATGGATATTCTTTCAAGCAGCTGCTAGCAGTCTTTTAGACAGAAACGCTATTAGCATTTCTCTAAAATCTCCTGCAACTTATGATTATAACCAAGCAGATATTAAGCATCTCACAGTCAGATTTCTGCTCAGTTTTGCTCTAAAAACATCGCTTTAGTGGTGTGAACAGGTATCTAATTAAACAACTGAGAAGTGTTTGGAATAGGTTTTAATTCTTTCGACTAGCATATCGTAGCTCTCGGTTGTGTCATCAATGACTTGTTCGTCATCAAAGAAAAGGGTTTGATCTAGCATATTCTTGTTACTCAGCACTTGTATTTCTCTTGTTTAAAGATAGCCTTAGAATGGAAAAGGCGAAGACCGAATCGAGTAGAGAGTGATGGATGGCTTGATGGACGTGCCACCCCATTGATCAGATGAGAGGGCCGTACTGAAATTTGTAGTTCAGAAAGATGATTTCCATTTCAGCTTTGATATCTCATTCTAAATTTTCCGATCTTGCATTCGCTCACGCTAGCCCTTCCCAACATTTCCCCTAAATTCCAGGCAAAAAAATTTCTTTGCGACTTTTCGTTGTGGATTACTTCCTATAACTCATCCAAGAAGGCAGTTAATTCACTTCATAATCTGCGTAAGCCGAAGATGTTTACAACTGCGATCTTCGTTTGCACAGGACAAAAACGCTGGATGATCAAGCGTTTTGATAGAACCTGTATGAGTCGATGAAGTGGGTGTTTCAAGATAGGACATTTCTCCACGAATGACAAGGGTCCTGCAATTTAACTGCCCTTTAACGTTCTTGGCTTTTGCCTCTTTTAAAGCAATTACGTTGAAATTAATAAGCTCTCTTACAAAATCTTGGGTTGAAAATGGAAAAGAAAGTCGTTCTTATGCGTTGTTTTGACATTGAAGTTTTCTTTTTGATCCAGTTCCAGTAACGTCAAATGCAAATCGAGATCTCACAGTCTCCCACCTGTTGTCTCACCGTCTGACGCCATATAATGGGGCACAATGCGCGGAGTACCGAGCCTGAGTTATTTGTGGTCCAGCCATTTCAGGTCTTCCCTATTCTCGGTCACTATCCCTTATAGACTGGATAAGTGCTTGGAGTCTTCTAACAAAGGTTATTCGAGGAAGGCAGCGGTTCCTGTGACCGGTCAACCAACCGTATGATTGAGGGCGACGTTTTGGGCAGAATAAAAACATCGAATCGAGAATAGAAAACAAAAGCCAACCGACGGCACGAAGAAAATGCAAAAAGACAGGTAAAAAAAACTCCAGCAAAATCAAACGCATAAGATCATATTTTGATGGAAAAATCTGCATGTTTTAAAAAATTTTGTGCCATATAATAAAGAATACTGTGGGCAAAGATTTGCACGTTTGAAGCTGAAGATTAGAAATTGGGATCGGCTTTCTAACATAAGCAACGGTCTGTTTTCTTTTACCACGATGTAAACAGCAGAATAATTTCTCTCTTGTGATCATGAGAAATTTGGCATTCAGTTGCTCACACCTTGTTTTTGATTTGAGCATGAAACGCAGTATCGTTGAATTTCACAGAATCCTCGATAATTTCATATCCTGTAGGTGCCGCGGTGGATCGTTGTCTCCTTTAACGAATTAATAGCATTTTATTCAAACAAGTAATAGTAATATGATATTGTCGCTGCACTAAGGTTCTCATAAAACTTCTATTATAAAGAAATTGAGGCCACTCCCTATATTTGATTGTGTAGTTCTTATAGTACAGCTCAGTGAGTCTCAACAATATACAAGTCAGTTATTCGCTATATATGGGTACTTTGTGTGCATTCCTTAAATGATTTTCTATGAAAACGTAAGGTGGAACAAGAAAAGCGGTACACGAACTGGATCCGCAAGTGCCACGTGTACAAATCGCAGTGCGTTCCCAAGGTCTGACCTATATATGAAGAAGCAACGGTAACGAAGACTTTCAACAATTGCTGGCAAAGAAAATGACATGAAAACAGAACAACCTTACTTGCAAAATGCGGATTGATCACAGATTTTGAATTTTGACCGATCCACAGTATCGACGAATGTCGCCAAGCCAGCGCAGAGAATAAGGAACCACCACATTCAGTGAAAATAATAGGTGAACCTTGTTACACGGTTGTAAGGAGAAAGCAAACCAGAAGAAGTGTTTATTTTGCTAAAGAACTTTCTCAATATGCTAAAGATTTCCAGTAGACCTTGTATACAACCGTAATTCATAATTCGCAAAACTTAGAAGCGATAAGAGAAAATATTAGGTCTAATTCATATATATATATGCATATTGGGAGAAGATGTTGGTGAAAAAAATTTGAGGTGGCAAGGACGATAGTTCGGTCACGGTGTGCGGGGTGGCGACGGGGCCGTAATAGTTCTCGAGAAGGTGGAGTTGTGGGGAAGTGGGTGGTTTCACGACCTCTATCGCTCTTCATGATGAAACCCCTATGACATTCAAAAATGATTGGGATCTTTCCTTAACTGAATGTTGCTATTTTAATCCCAAAACTGCTGTTACACGTCCGCCAGAGCGTGTAAGTTTGTAGGCATATATATATATATATATATATATATATATATGTATATATACGTATGCATAAATCTACAGATTTTCTAAAAATGCAGCAAAAGCTACTAACCTTAAACAAAATTAGTGACAGTTCGATGTAATACTCCTGCGTTCGCAACAATGCGACAGCATGTAGTTACCTGCGAGCGTCGTCATAGAAAAACGCTATGTCGGGTATGAATCTCTAGTAAACCATTTGCCAAAAGGAGTATAAGTAGACAAGTAAGTTCGAGAAATCGAACGGCGAATGCCTTGCTGATTATGTCCGTTTAAAAGCGAAATAAATCAAGTGAGCTGCGGCAGACGACAAGATCTATTGCAGTTAAGACTACTCGTTGGATCAGTGGTGACAGAAGGTGAACTGAACTAATAGACCATTTTTTGTGGAATATTTTGCTTAGGTACCTTGGTAGCGAAAAATTTTTTTGAAGTCATGCACTTTCCAAACATTTCTTAAAATGCGTATGTAGTGTTACAGCAATATTTATAGCAACCAACTGGTATTCGGCGAATTCTTGACATTATCACAAAAATATCATAGAATAATAGGTCACAGGCAACAAAAGCCCCATGTTTTTCACTCTTAGAGATATCTGATAAGCACTGTTCTTCCGGCGCAGGAAATATACACGATGTGTGCAAAAATGCACTCGTAGAAAATGACAAGCAATTTAGGATCAAGGCAGAGTTTTCATAACAGCTACATGTTGTTCTGTAGATAAAACAGTAGATGAATAATTATTTACAAAATGGTTCTAAATTCATAAGATTAAAAGAATGAGAGCAATACCATAAAGTGGATCATCAATGAGCCGGAAAAAGTGTTCACATAATTTTCTGCATATAATTTGTAAACAGGCAGGTGGTATAGAACACCTGAAGAGTTTTCTATTCTGAAGAGGACAGTAGGTAATTAATAATCTCAGCTCTCACATAACCATGAGACGAATCATATCAATAAAGATGTCATAGAGAATATAAAGTTACTGAAAGCATTCTAACCTTAGAGACGTAATATTTATTGAGAGTAAGTACAGCGCTATAGAGAGCACACGTGGTGAAATGCTAAACTCCTATTCCGTTTCACATCAATTATTCTCCTTTTCGGTGATCGCTGTTCGCTGATCACCTCGTTTTTCTGGTTCGAAGATCATTTGGTCCTTCACGGAGAGGTTCTAGAGGAGTCACCTTTCATTCCTTTGATGGCAATACCACGCCTAATTTATAAACTAATCGTAAATTGCAGTATTTTTCACGTCCAAAATATATTTAACGGTTATTGTTTAGTGTATTTTTGCAGTTTTTCAAATATTACTTTTAGTAGTCCATCTTGGCCTTCACGGGAACCATGTAAGTAACAAAAACTAGTTTGAACAATGTTTCAACAAGAAGAAGTACCGAAAAAAACACGAATCTTTCTACTTCCATACTTTCAAAATAAATCGAAGTCGAAGAAAACAAACTTGCTGGTTTGCGGCTGAACAGTGACTTAACAAGGGTGCTTTGCTGGGCATCACAGCGACATCGTGATGTCTAGCAGCCTGCAACCTTATGTCCATTATTTGCTCATTTTTTCATTAAAAATTGTTCCTCTGCTTTTCTGCGTAGTCAATATTTCTCGAATGAACTTATAGATACATTATTCAAATTACTTTTTCTTGATCAGACTATAAATGCTCCCATATTGCTTGTTTCTGGTAGGCCTGCCATATTTTTATAATAATCAGTATGCAGTAGTGCCAAACAACCAGCAACTAGAACACATCATGTATCGGCCGTCGGCTCAAGGACAAACGACGGCCAACTAAAATGACGCGTGAGGATGGATGAAAGTGAGATGGAAGCTGTGGAATAGACCATAAAAAACTTCTCATAGAGTTAGAAAATAAAGTATTTAAATCTATAGGTGAAACGCTGTACTCAATGATCAACAAAAACTTAGTGAGGTGAGCAACAAAAGAAAAATGTTGCAGTATCGTTTTCGAAAATAAAACAGCTAGTTCAGCTCTTCGAGAATTCTGTTGTAAAGAAATACAGTCATGGTAAATAACATGCAGCAAAACGAAGTTTCCAACCAAAGAATCATGTAATATTAATGATATTGTATGTATTCTTTCTTGATAAGCTTACACGAGGTTGATAAATATATTTATTTTCGGCTAACGTTTCGACGTCTTCGTCTTCCTCAGAGCCGGCGATCCGAGTCGATGGTCCATGCTTGTTGTTCGCCTCGACGTTGCGTCTTCGCCTTCCTGTCGAGCCAGATCTTCCTCAGCGAGCCATCTTCTCGAATGAGGCATCCTCACTTATGTCCGGAAGAAATACAAGTTGTTACCACCGGACATTGTCATTATATATCCACCATCAGCATCGTGTATAAAAGGGCATCACTGAGTGAGGATGCCTCATTCGAGAAGATGGCTCGCTGAGGAAGATCTGGCTCGACAGGAAGGCGAAGACGCAACGTCGAGGCGAACAACAAGCATGGACCATCGACTCGGATCGCCGGCTCTGAGGAAGACGAAGACGTCGAAACGTTAGCCGAAAATAAATATATTTATCAACCTCGTGCAAGCTTATCAAGAAAGAATACATAATAGCGCGTTCGTTCCCCACCGCATACACCTGCGGTCCCGAGTTTTGCAAATATCTCAGCGTCATTAAAGTTATATTTCACAATGGATACCCTGCCGTTAAAAAGAGTAGGCAGTAAATAATAAGTTAAAATAGTCATAATTGGAGATTTCAAAGCCAAGATTGGACCAAGAAAAACGTCTGAAGAACGTCACATTTGGATTACAATGGAACGAACAGGGTGAGCGGCTGTCTGAGATTATCACGGGACCAAGACAATCCATGGTAATTCGCAATTCTAGAAGCCCCACCCTCAACGCTAGTCGTGGTGGTTTCCCAATGGAGATTACCATAGCGAAATAGACCACATTATAGGAAATAGGTTTTGTCTAACCGAAGTCGCTGTTGTCCCAAATTCTACACGGGATCAGACTACTGTCACCTTCGTGCAAGATTGTATTTCTCGCGGAAAGGAGACAAAGCCGCTAAATTCCAAAACCGAAGTCCTATAACCACCGCAAACTGGGATTTATTCAATTCATTAGTCGGCTGTTGGGAAGATGCCGTTGTCGATAATATTGACGATGAATAGGATCGGCTCATTCAACACCATCACGTTAGCTCTATGAATGCTCAGAGTTCGAAAGCCACCAAGAGACGTTTGCCTCCGAAAACACTTGAGCTGACACGCCAGCGTGAATTCGCACGAGCTGCAGGCAATCGCGAACTAACGTTCGAAGTTGCAAAACAGTGCAGACAAGCGACAAAAGAAGATCTTAAAGACAAAAGGACAGCAGTAATGGACGAAGCTATAGAGGCTGGGAAAAGCAGTTGCAAAACGCCCGAAGTTTGGCCAATGACAGGACCAAAATCATTGCACTCCGGTGGCCAGACGGAAGAGTTACAGCGTCTAGAAAGACAATCGAGAAAATCATTCATGAATACTACTCGGATCTCTTCGATAGCCACGTCCACCTTCCGTCATATGAAATAAAGAAGTATGGATATGTTGTGCCACCGGTTCTCCCTTCCGAAATCCAACATGTCATTTCGTCGGCGAAAAATCAAACAGCACCAGGTCCGGACAGGATAAGGCCAGAACACCTGAACAATCTTCCGCCAGTCCTCGTAAACACACTGGCTCGGCTCTTTACACATTTCCTATCTGAATACAAGGTCCCTACTCAGTGGAAGACCAGAAAGACCGTGTGATTGTTCAGGATGACCTACACGATATCGACAGCTATCACCCAATCTGCTTACTGTCTGCCGTGTACAAACTTTACACTCGAGCCATCCTAAACAGGATTGACAAAAAACTAGATGAAGGACAGGCATGTGAGCAAGAAGGGTTTCGAAAAGGATTTGGTACGATGGACCACATCGTCACGGTAACACGGCTCATTGAAGTATCGCGAGAGTACAAAAAACCGCTGTTTTTCACTTTCATCGATTTACAGAAGGCCTTGATTCGGTTGAGATAGAAAGAGTCCTGTTAGCCCTTATTAGTCAAAGCAAATCAATTTAACCAGGCTATCACCATTCTACAACGATATTAACATTGACATCAAAGGATGGGCTAGGAAAGGCGATACCATGTCGCCAAAATTGTTTGCCGCCACTCTCCAGATCGTCATACGAGCATTGAAATGGGATGATATGGAAGTGAAAATCGACGGTCGGCAGTTACACCATCTTCGCTTTGCTGATGACATCATCCTTATCACACCAAACATTAGCCAAGCGAAACGTATGCTTGCCGACTTTGATATAGCCTGTGGAAAGATTAGTTTTCGACTAAATCTCACAAAACGATGTTCATGAAGAACGGATTAGTTTCGCATGCCCCATTCACGCTCAACGGAATGAATGTCTCCGAATGCTCCAGTTATACCTATCTAGGTCGGGAAATCAATATGATGAACGACCTAGCACCAGAACTGAGCAGAAGGAAACGAACGGCTTGTGGAGCTTTCAAGAGCATCGAGCATGTAGTGAAGAGTAAAAAGAACACCCGACTCCGTGCCCACATTTTCGGCTCAACAGTACTTCCTGCCCTAACGCATGCGTCAGAAACCTGGTCGCTGCGTAACCAAGATAAACGGTCACTCAGCGTTATCGAGCACGCAGATGAAAGGACAACGCTAGGAGTATCCCGTTCCACACAAGTAAGGTATGGGATCTGAAGCTCCGATCTGCGTCAACGATCAAAAATCAAAGATACCGTCCTGTACGTCAAACAGTCGAAGATAAGGCGGGCCGGACACGTAATGCCTATGAACGACAACCGATGGACAAGAGCCGTTAGTGACTGAATTGCCCGAGATGTCAAACGTACTGCGGGAAGACCGCCGACCCGATGGTCAGAGTTCTTTACAGAGAGCCTTGAAGAAAGATATGATGCTCGACGAGTCCCTAAAGCGAGCAGAACCGACTGGGCTGCTCTTTCACGCGGCAGGAAAAAATGGAAGATTTACTAGCGCCCACTCGAGTCACTAGTCGAACAACGAAACTACAGGTAATATAGGTGAAACAACACGTGCACTAAATGGCACTGGGCATTAGAATCTTGGAGTTAAGCATTTTACTCCTCATTTAAGCCTCATTTTCATTTTTTTGTATCAGTTAATTTTGGTTCCGCTAAAGCTTTTTGTACTTTTGTTACACTAACCATCGCCGGCTTCACATTTTACTAAATCATTAGCAAAAATTAGAAGCGATTCCTCTAGCTTCCTTGTCGCAGAAGGCATGTGACAAGTCAAAGTCTTCAGCTCAAAGTAGATTCCAGCTCATTTTTTGTAATGGCATAAAAACTCGGCGTGATCCGTTTCTTTTGAACACTCAGTGGTGTTTTACTCCCAAAAAACGTGCGCTGCTTTCTTTCAAGGCAATAAAGTGGGCAGTAATTTGAATGAATGTGTAATATGACACAAGGGCTTTTGTGACGTTCGTAAGTGTACAGCACGAAACAAATTCTACGAAGTACGATATAACTTACTCACATTTTGAAACCATAAAAAAAAGATTAGTCAGAGTTCTTTAGCATATTGTGCTCATTGTGCTTTTGAAGCCAATGCACCTGGCAGAGTGGGAAACGAAGTAGTTAGAGATGGCGTGAGCAGGTTCGATACAGAACCACATCAACTTTGCCTCCTATCTCGCGATCGGTAAAATGGTTGCAGACTTTTGAGGGATGAGCTCCGTCAGCGTTAGGATTCTAAGCAGAATCAATTTAAACAACACTCAAAAAAAGACAATACCAAATGGCAACCGAAGGAGCAAGGAAATCTGAAGACAGATGAGATATAACTAACAGAATATAAAATAGTTGGAATTCGTTTAATATGCAAAGTAAGGTCATATAAAAAATGGTTGAAAAAGAACAAATAGTTTCAATATATATGGATTTGCAGTAGTTGTCTTCAGAGTCCAGTTTTCGTCTTGTAGACTTATTCAGTTATATCATTTACAACTAATGCGTACAGTGTAACACAATGCACCTACAACAACTATTAACCGCAATTGGGAATTTGATGCCTTTTAAATCAATAATATCGAAGAGCGTAACACCAGTAAAGGGAATAAATAAACGGACCTCTCGTGATGTCGTAATAAAATGACCGTTTTTCGACCACGAGTAGAGATTCGGCTTCGGATTTGCATCGACAGCACAGATGAGCGTGCTGTTCTGACCGATGCCGATTGTCAGCAGTTGCTTGTGTGATGGAAGAGCTTTTGGTGCATCTGAAAAAGAGAATACTTTCATAGGCGGGCTATTCGTTGGCAGTCGTGCCTTAATGGCTTCTGATCAACACCATCATTGCACACCTTGCCATGTTCATCGAGTCCAAAGAGCGAAAGAGATTCTAAGGCAGCAAAGGTAAATGGTAGGGACTTGGTGGAGCATGTTAAAGCATGCCGTAGCAGGCCACTCATTTTCGTTTACTCTCAAAAACATATGTCAGTATTGTTGTTTTTGCTATTGTTGCTGTTATCATTATTACTAGTAGTGTTATTAATACCGCTTGTAATATCAAGGCTGTTATCATTGTCTTCACTAGCATTGTATTACCGCTATCATTTTTGCTTTTACTTTTATTACTACAATTGTTAATTATTGCCAAAACTATTGTCATTACTAACAGTTAAGAGGCATGTAGCACGGTGGTAGCGATGTCGGTCATCACGAGCATGGTGTTACTTCGATTCCGCTCAGAACCAACCAGACCTATCATCCGTCCTGGATCGGTAAACTGGTACCGGGCTTCTCCGGGAAAGTCATTCGCTGCAACCTAACTGGGAACGCTGCAAACGGGCTATCTCAGAACTCCAAGAAGAATTCCTCAACCAGTGTTCTACGACGTTCAAGATGAAAAGAAAATCCTCAAGCAGCAAACGAACCCACACGTAAAAGTTGGAATATAGGAACTATTGCCAAAATAGTTACTATTCTTCCGTCATATCGTAGGACTGTGGTAAACATATTCGTGGCCCCTTACATCGCTTTGAGATCATGCGGATTGTAAACGTTTTCACTTTGTTGAGAGAAACTTTGGCTGTCGTAAACATTTTTTGTGATCCACACTCTTTTTATACAATCAGAACTGTTTGTGTGTTGCATCTGTTTCAACCCATCACGGGTACGGTGACAGAAAGAGGCATGAAGTTGTCCGGCAAATCGTCCTCAGTTATCTGATCACGCGAGAGCTGGAGACGGAAATTGATGGGTGTTTTCGGCAATGGCTCTGGAGCTGTGCCAAAGCACCGGTTCTCTAAAAGATATTTAAATAGCCCCGTCAGTCAATACCGTATTCGCCCCAATGCTCATCATGTGTAATGCGCTTTGTAGTCAATCGAAGGTGTTCTCTCTTCTTGTATGTGGTCACTGTTGTATATTAATTTTACTGTCATGTGCCTCTGAACACGCTAACTCTATTGTGTGTTCACATTAACCTCAAGGCAGTATACTCATACGCTCACATGTATTCTTTAATACGTTAACCAAATTGCAATGAACCTACAAGTTAGCACATAACCTCATCGCAATGTTACAACAAGGTTACATGACGCTCTCAACGTGTTAACTTCATTAGAACCTCATCACAAGTCTACACATAGTGCGTAACCCTTTAGTAGTGTTGTTTGTGAGTCAGGCATTACGACCTCATATAAATCCCTTAATACGCCTGGACCTTGTGACACTCTTGAGGTATTCTAAATGCACATAGCACTGTTTTACTGGCCTATAGCAAAGAAACTAACCCGCATTACCCTCATTTATTGATCATGACACAATATTGCAGACTGTACTGTACCAGTGTTTACATTTCGTTATTCTTGAATTATTGTTGCTATAAACTGTTTAATTACCCAACTTTGAGTTATTGCTCTGCGGCAAGAGCAAAAAGCCCCACGTGGCAACTTCTACGAAGTCGAGCATCCTACTCAAAGCTAGTGATCATAAGGTGAAGAGGACTGACTCGAAGACCTAATTTCCACTAGCAACGGCTATATGAAAGATCTTCGTGGGCAATGGATGCAAGGAAACGAATCGAATATCAGAATTTCTGGGATCCGCACGGTAAACATTGAGATGGCTCGTATAAAATATAAAAAATAAAAAGTACCATAATCGTTGCTAGATCGTTGCAGAAAGAAATGCGTTTTGTCGTAACAAAAACTGTAACATAAATACTGGAATGCGCTGTGTACAATACTCTTTCTGATACTTATATAGTCTGCAATGATTTCATACTAGCTTTCAAAGAAAGAAAATTGCTTCGCATTGATGCATTAATTCAAACGTGAATATAAGCAACTTTAAAAAGCTGCGAACAAACATAAACAAGAAGCTGCTTCGAAACGAATGACACGCTGATGATTATTCCCAGGATCGACTATCTATTAACCTCGCCATTGGAATATGCATGCGTCGTTTTCTTGTTCAGCAATCGCAAGGTTGTTAAACAGCATACATTTCCTTCCATAGGAAAACACAATGCAGTACAACACTAGCTGACGTTTCAGCGAAATCGCCTTTTACAGAGGCTGGAAGGGTATACTGATATACAATTTATTAGGCCAAGCGCTTTAAAAACACTTACAGTAAGACGAAAAACTCTGTGGCAATTATATGATCAACAGCTTCTCGAAACACTCACCACTTTTTTCGTGCCTTCCAATGAGGAAGGATAGAACAGCCGATTATAGACGCATATGGTTGATGAGTGCACCATCCTACAACGGAAATTGATGCGAAGAAACGGAGCCAGGTCGCGTGTGACCTCTGGGCATTCTCCCTGCTATTCATTGTAAGTTTTTTGGCACTTATCTAAAACGCCTCAAAAGGTTTTCGCGCTGGTGTTTTAGCCTCCTGTGCGAGAATATTGACTTTTACTTCAAAATCGTCTCCGCTATGCTTTTGTATCCTTTTCGGCTCGATTTTGCTGCCCGATTTTCAGATGATTGGGGGCATAACAATACCTGAGAGTGCGTGTTCACTATTAGAATTGGGTCCAAGTTTTGTACCATTACAACTCATTTCTATAACGACGCTGCGTAGTGCAGCATGCAACCTTTATGAGCTTCAATATCGACTCCGCTTTCAGGCCAAACAAGAAACGTCAAATAGAGATAAAAATCGAGAGGCGGCGACACTACCACCATCTCCTTTCCCAAAAACGTTTTTAGACAGTAGAACCCTAACGATGGAGTTGACATAAAATTCCGCGTGTTTTCGGACGGCATTCTCAAGACTTTTAATTACCACCGGGATGCAAAGTTTATCTCTAACCTTACAGCCGCACAAAAATCTGGCATGCGAGAAATTAGAGAATTAATAAACTCGAAAACAATAAGAGTGTCTGTTGGTGATAAGGGGGAGAGTAGTTATTCCTCGCCAGCTGCATGTTGAGATAATAGAGGAACATCTTAGTGATGCTACCCTCTATCGCCCATCCTCTGAAAAAGAATATAAAAGTCAATACCGAAAGCTAAACAATCAATGGGTCAGTGTGGCAAAGGCTGCGGGTTAAAAATCATCGGTTATTTCGCGCTTTAAAATCGATAGACCAACATGTCCCGTCCTATACCGACTTATTAAAACACATAAGTTGGTATCACTTGATGATCTTGCGTCAACCATTCCGCCATCATTTAAGATTGGACCCATCATCAGCTGTGTAGACAGGCCAACGGGTAGAATAATTTGGTTTTTAAGCCTAACACTTACCCAGTTGCTCAACCACATACTAGCTCACCTCACAAACACCCAAATGTTCCAAGAACGTCTACGTAACGCATCTCCTAATGACGCGTACGTAATGGAGTCTTTAGACGTTACCGCGCTGTACACCAACGTGCCGAATAACTCCGCAATGCAAGCCACCTTCGAGCTTCTTGTTGAACATGAAGAAAGAATAAATATGCATGGCTTGTCTATCCAGCAGCTAATGGCTCTCTCAAAGGAGTGCCTAAACTGCTCGATTTTCAGAGGGTTGGCAATGAGACAGCGACTGGTACCAAGCCTTGCCATTGTGTTTATGTCTAAAATAGAAGCTCCAGCTCTCGACCTCTGGCCACAACTCTACTGCAGATATGCAGATGATTGTTTTGCCGTCTTCTCTACGCAGAAGGAGTTGGACAAATGTTTTGAAATATTGAACGAGCAGTCTGAGTTTATTAAGTTCACCTGGGAGAAACCGAGAAAAGTAGCGGTTACATGACAAAGTGGTACCCATTTCCTTCCTTCCTACCCTTCACACACAAAGTGGACGCTTGTGAGAAACATGTTTCGGGCATCCACCTCTGCGTCCACAACCAGGGAACTAAAGGAAGAATCGCGCGACTTGGCTCGGCAAATAGCCACCTCCAATGGCTACGAAATAGTAACTTCACGAGATTAGTTTAGAATGAGAGCGACCCGCCCAAGGAAGACACATGGACAAAAGAAAGTTTCGCTTATGTTGCCTTTTATTAGCAATGAAGTGATAATAGCTATTAAACGTCGCTTAAGAAGGGCAGGACTAGAAGAATCGGTAACAATACTTGAAATACAACCAGCTACTCTACGTCGTCAGCTAGTTCTTAACCGCCTGTATGACCGTCTATGTGGAACAACAAATTGCGTAATTTGCCCTTACGGCAGAGACGGTGATTGCATGAGTTCAGGTACGATATACCTGACTTCTTGTAATAATTGTGGAGATGAATATATTGGCGAAACGGGCAGACCTTTCTGTATCCGTACGAATGAACACTTAGATGGAAAGCGAAAACTAAGACAAAGTACCCCACTTTACACGAATATAAAAGCATAGTGGAGACAACTTTGAAGTAAAAGTGAATATCTTTGCACAGGAGACTAAACACCAGCGCAAAAACTTTTTGACACTTTTTGGATAAATGCCAAAAACCCAAGAATGAGTAGCAGTAGTCAGCTGTTTTAATCTTCCTCAATGGAAGTCACATAAAAAGCGCTTAGTCTTTCGAGAAGCTGTTATCATGTAACTGCCATAGTTCTTCGTCTTACTGTAAGTGTTATTGAAGTGCTTGGCCTAATAAGTTGTATATCAATATACCCTTCCATGCTCTAAAGAAGGCGATACTGCCAAAACGCCAGCTACTGTTGTACTGCTCTGTGTTTTTCTATGCAAGTAAATGTATGCTGTTTAACACCCTAGCAATTGCTGAACAAGAAAACGAAGCGTACACTGGTGATTCCTAAAGTTTCGCACTGGAGAAATGAGCCTTCGTGGAGATAAAGGTCGTGGAGGCCTAACAGCAATCTGCTACGAATATCTGGAGCTAATAGTCGAAGCTGTCACTTGAATAAGTACTTGAGGGGTTGTAGAACAAATGAAAATTCGCAATCGTTCGTTGTGAAGGACGCACAGGAAATGTGAAGAATCTCGTTAATTGGCCCTCGCATGAAGTGAGTTAAGCGCAGCGAGATCATCATTACGAATCATTTTCTTGATTATATCTCTTTGGTGTGGAAGTTATGACCATCTGCAAAAGAACTGCAAAAGGAGATCTTCGTTTCCTAAGAAATGTCGGTTTTAACTGTTTTTAATTCAAATAATAAGGCTCGTGATAAACAGAAATACGTTTTTGCAAATTTGGAAGGCGAAATTATTTTCGGGATTGACGCCACTGGATGTTGCCATGAATGTTTCATAGTAAGACGGCACGATTATATCCATGCATTTATGGAATGAAACCGATTTCTAGACGATCATTGCGAGCTTGCTAATTATTCTAGTGAATGGACCCAAAAAAGGAACACCGTGCAATACGGTTCGGAAGGAAGCCGTGGAACCACTTCAAGTAAAAGGAAGCTGAGTGTGGTAAAATTAACACCTGAAAAAAATAATGGGTAAGACAACCCACAAAGCACGTCAAGAAAGGCGGATGCTCGAGCTGGTGTCCCAGAAGGACTCGTAGCCCAACAAACGTACCAGCCACTGTCGTGTTTATTGACATCAGTGATTGACAAGTCACCTTCCTTAAGCAGAAGGTTAAGTACCTTAGAAATGCACTCTACAGTGCAGGGCCTCACTCACCTTGATGTTGATCTTGAGGCCAGTTTCTGTTGTTTTGATTGGTCGATCACGGAACATCCACGTGTACTGTACATCGTTTGGTTGTGCGTCGGCATGACATCGCCAGAATACTTTCGACCCCTCGACGACCGTTTTATTTGTGGGAAAAAAATCGAACGTGGGCACTTCTGCACTCAACAGTGCTGTTATAAATTTTTTCCATTGACGGAAATGAAAATATGAAAAGATTTGAAGTTTCCCACTTGAGATTTTAAGCTCAAATTGCGATGATGCACGTCCTTCAACATTAACGGCTTCGCATGTATAGATTCCCTTAAAGATTCATTTCAAAGTAGACCACATCTTTTTGCTTTATGACAAACATTGCGCAGATTGATTTGGAAATGATGTGACCTAATTTTAGAACAGTGTAAACGGGTTTCTTTAGAAATGATTCACTAATGCTTACCACGTGCTGTTTTTCCAACTTGTCGATAAGTAGTAATGGCCCGGTGCTGAGTATAGTGTCATCCTGGGATAGTCGCAATAACAATTCTTTACGTGACTTTCTATTCTTTATAAATAGTAGTCTCACTTTTGTCCAGGTGATTTCAGGAGGTGGAACACCGTCAGCCTTGCACTCTCTGGAGAAGAGTTCACCAATGCTGCCGTAATTTATTTGGTGGTTACTCGGCGAAATCACAACGGGGGAGGCTTAATTGTAAAAAACTTGTAGTTCTTCCTAAAATGTCTGGTTTTTTCAAACCTCTTGCAAATGTAATTTTTCGCCGAGCCTTTTGATCCGAAAAGACATTTTGACTTTTAACTTTTCGCACCAAGAATAACACCTTCTTCCTGTCTTGATCTTCATCGACCATCGTTTGACAGCGTTCAAACGAATGCAGTGTCGTCGACCAAAGAATGAGCCCGCTCTGTATTAGGGACTGCAGTTGACTATTACCGTAAATGTCTCAAAAACACAGATTTTCAAGCCACCAGTCTTCATTCCCAGAGAACAGCGGCACCAACTTACCTCCAAGCTGTATATCAAGCCGTTTCAAAAGGTAATGAAGGCAGTGGGAGCAAGAACGGTACACGCACTGATGTATAATTCCTACAGATTCTTTGTCTTACTGGCAGTCTGCTGCTTTTCTAGAAAGAGAATAAATGCTTAAAGAGCGCAACGAGGAGAGGAAAGGGATGAGACTGCGAGTGAACCAGAGGAAGGCCCAATTTATGGGGAACCTATGGTGCAAAAGTGAACAAATCGAGTTGTATTATTTTCTCATTAAAAAAACCACATTACACATACACTTTGGAAACTCGCTGAACATGGAGAATGATGTGAAGGAGAAGCAGAAGTGAAGAAAAAGAGCATAATGGGTTGCAATATTCAGTGGAAAGCTCGTAGAAAGCGCTGAGTTTCAAGGAAGATAATTCTGTGTTCAGTGTGATTGAAATCTTCGTTCACCACTTTTTTTGTTTGGTTGTGGAAGCATGTCTCTGGGTATATTGCGATCAACAAGACCTTTCCAGGAACTGACGCTGATGAAATCAGTCGAAACGTCAACTTCATCGCAATAATGAGTAGCGCAACACTCGCATTTGCTCAATAAAGATATAAAGAATTCTTTAATTAATAGCGAGGTTAATAAAATGTCGGTCGCGGAATTAATGTGTTGCGCTCAGGCTTTTCAATGAACCACCTACGAGCGAACCGACCCACGCTCACTTTATTCTACCAAGCCGTCATCTCATGGCACTTGCAGGGATCAAAGGATCGAAGCAGATGACCACTCCATTTACTAGAACGGCCCATCGGAATATCCAGGCCTTAATTTTTAGAAAGAGGTGTTGCAATCAAACACAAAATGATTAGATAAAGTTATGGGAGTTATGGCCTCTCAACGGTTTACCGCCTGATCGTAGCTAGAAGGTGTTCCCGGGTGTCGAGGTGCGATGTATTCATACTCTCGGCAGGGTCTCCCAAGCTGAGGTGTTCAGCGTTTCCATTAGGAAGCTCAGCTAAGAGTAAACCAATACCGAGAACCACCACCGTCCTGGTATCCATCTTGTCGCATGGTGATAAAACTCGCTCTGATCTAAAAGAACGGCAACTCCCTTTGGTAGTGATAACCTGAGGCAGACTTCGGCTAGGCCGACTTCGGGTTTCTAGGAAACGCCATTTGCTAAACCGACAAAATCCCGAAAAATGGTTATTATGCTGGGCTCGCAGAACCAGTGAAAGCAGGCCGTCCAAACATCCATGTAGGTAATAAAGTTGCGGTAAACCAATTGTTTTAGAAGCAAACGAACACTAAGTGAATTCACTAAATATGGACGCTTTTACGAAAAACATTCTACAAAAGTTGTCGGAAAGAAAAAATTCGTCAGTAAAGGAGGTTTGGCAAAAAAATTCTTCCCGCTATCATTACCTACTTTGCGAAACAGGTGTTCATTTTAAAAATGAACAACATTGCTTTTAAAACAAGTCGGTATTACTATCATTATATAAAGGGCCTTTCCTACAATGATTAAAGCAAAATGAAGAAATGTGGGAAACATCTAAATTCACTGGAATTTTAGTGGGATCATCCTCCACAACGGAGCTTGAACTAAGTTTCGAGAACTCTGAAATTCTTCGGAACATTTTTCAAAATGGAGTATTTTGCGTTTTTGCTTTTACTTATTAGTACAAGACTTCCTACCAACCGTTTACGACAAGACGTAGTGGTGGTCCGATCTCAGCTTTCGTTGGTTGCCTAGAGAATCGTGTTAGAACGCAATAGTATTGCCCGTTATCCATGTTGCTCACTGAATGTATGGTCAGTCCTAGATTCGATCCCCGTGCCACGCCTCCTATAATGGTATCAAATTTAGAAATACAGCTTGAACCCTCTGGTAATTACACGATCAAAAACTTCTCGAAAAACCCACCGCTTTTTCGTGACTTCCAATGAGGAAGTTTAGAACAGCTGATTATGGTCGCATGTGGTTGACGACTGCACCATCCCACATCAAAAATCGATGCGAACGCACGGAATCAGGTCGCGTATGACCTCCGGGCATTCGTCCCTGCTATTCATTGTAGGGTTTTTGGCATTGATCCAAAAAGCCTCAAGGAGTTTTCACGCTGGTGTTTTAGTCTCCTGTGGAAGAATACTGACTTTTACTTCAAAATCGTCTCCGCTATGCTTTTGTATCCGATGCGTGCCTAGTGGGGTGCTTCGTCTTAGTTTTCGTTTGCCATCTAGGTGTTCTTTTATACGGATACACAAATGTCTGCCCGTTTCGCCAATATATTCATCTCCGCAATTGTTACACGAGATCAGGTATATCGTACCTGAACTCATGCAATCACCGTCCCTGCCGTAAGGGCAAATTACGCAATTTGTTGTTTCACACAG